TCTTTCTGTTATTTGCGGGTAGTACCGCAGACGTTGCGAGAATACACAACTACATTCAGTGTGCCGTGCTGTATTAACGTTCGATATTGATATTATCGCCTCGCTCCATTCTTATTTATGTTTCAATACTCAAAGGACTAATGTTCCATTTGTTTAATAAGTTTTCGTGAGTTTTGTAATATTGTTTCGAATATTTTGCGTTTTTTAATTTAGTCTGTTATGCTTAGAAAATGTATGCTGGTCTAGTGATATATATTAGTTAAGTAATAGTAAGCACTATACATAAATTAATTATTTAAATAAAATAACATAATATCACGCCTTTTATACCCGAAGCGGTAAGCAGAGGGGCACATTACGGCATTTAATGCCGCTGTACAATGTAACACCCACTTTTACTATTTATGTTATGAGTCCCATGTAATAGGGGGTGAGCCTATTGCCATATACCGGGCACAAATCCAGACTCCGTGCTAATTCGGAGATTTTTTTAAAAACCTATATATACAAACTAAGTAAAAGTACAATTGAAATATATCTAAAATATTTACACCTTAAAATAGATAAGAATGATTGAAATATAAATTATAGACACATACCCATTCCATAATAATATTTGAAGGTTGAATAAAAAATCACACGACATCAACCTACCACAATCCAAAACATGGTTTCGAAATGTAAAATCGCTACCCAATCAAATATACATAAGGCGTTAAGTGTAACAGTGCAACGCTACGGAAGGAAACTATTTGCTGTTAATTAAAGGTATTGTTCGGCACATTATTTCCTTTGTCTTCAAATCTAGTTGTAAACAGTAAGTAACGGTGGCGAGTCGGGTCGGTAATCCAGCCTTAATTAGCAGTTGGTTGAGCGCGGTGGCGAACGGACGGACGGACGAGCAAACACTTCGGCGAGCTAACCGCGCGACTCAAACCAACATTCGTACAATAATACTGATTTACCGATACAATGTTGTTAAACTGTTTGAGCTGTTCGTTGGTAATTTAATCTGAGATACAAAACTAATCTGTCAATTGACATCGCAGTCGATACAATAAATTGTGTCATTTTAAAAATTGACAGAATTTATAGATCCTTAAGGATGATGAAAATGAAAATGTTTTTATGTATGTAATTGAGTGGACGACATAATACGAACTGTAACGGTTTCGGGATACTCACCACGTTGTTTATGGCGCAATGCTGCTCATGGCTATGAGCCCCAGTAGGGCTTGAAACGAGTCGAGTCATCTTGACAATAGTTACGTGAGTAACCCGAACAACATAATTAAGCTCTAACAACATATTCAGACTTGTTTCTGAAACCACACAATTATTTAAATCACACACAATATTGTTCCCAGTTCCAAAGTAGACAATGTATATATGTGTAGTTGACAGATTATTTGTACTGCAAGTTTGTTTACCACAACTGTCGTGTGTAAGGTTGGCCGGTCCGGTCGTGCACTACGTTTTGTGTCGCCGCCCTAATGTAACGGCCAACGTGTACCGCATACGGTTCGGATCGGGCTTTTATCACGCCATACGCGGCTTCTGCTGGGCATTTATAATTACTTTAAGAACAATTACAGTTTTAGGGATTGAGTATTGTTTAGTGTTTTCAGTAATTGGTGGTCGCATGATGCTGGTAGTTTTTGGGGCTTTTGGTTTGGGAAAATAGGCTATTAGAATTTGAAACTCTATTCCAGTGTCATCTAAATTCGACGAACTAAATTAGAAAACATAAAAAGCAATCAGACTTATTTATGTTTATAATATCTGGGAAATATTAACAGTTAATGTCAAAAATAAAATATTCGTCACGTAATAATAAGTGTGACTTCAGACTTCAGACGAACAGTAAACCTTAACTGTTTATTTTTTTAAATATTGTAAATTACTAGTAAGTTAGATTCAAAATATCAAACATATATTCCATTAAATAAACTACACACATAAGTATAGTGAGAAAGAACTTAGTGAAATAATTAACAAGCAATCTCAAGAGTATATTACACGGGCGATCTCCCACCGTCGCTAATCCCACTCTAATTGGTGGTCAGATGGCTATTGGACTTGAAATGGCAAAGCCAATGCAATTACTGGGACAAAGGATTTACTCTATAATTATTATTTTATTTATCTACACGGGATTCTTGCTATCTCAATTACAAACTAATTTATTCATTACAACTCTAGGTACATGAAATAAACATTGAGTTCAAATAAAAACACAAATGAGGATAGTTCCAAAAGAACGTTCACAAACAACTCGTAAAAGAATCGTTGATATTGAAAATCAGATTCGAAACCACATTTCCCAACACAATATAATCTGAAGTAAAGTCATCTCCGACATGAAAGAAACACATCGAAATTCTTAAGGGGAAATATTACTTTGCAATCGCGAAATTCTTTGCTGAAACAACTCTTGGGAAGGTAACGTTCATTTCGACAAAAGACGAGCAATATTCCGTGCACAAAGGAAAGCACCCGATATATTCAATGCAGTGACACAAGAAATGGCGGCACAAAGCGGTAACAAAGCTCATATTGAGAGTTACACGGAACGCGTCCGCCACTCGGCCGCGGACACCGCGCGCCGCGCCAATATTTTACCCCTCACGTTTTATTAATAGCCGTGTCGATGTCGTGCTTGTTCATTATCTGTTATTACTGATCTACCTACTCTGATTGACGTGATTTCCTCTTAGCTATGTCATCTAATTACCTTTTTATTATGTTTGGTTATTTTGATCGAGTGCTGTTCTCTTTTCTTCTTTTGCTTTTTTACACAATTCGGTGACTTTTACAGGGGTTATTTTAGCAAATATATATATATGTATGCCGTTAAGATTGACACGGATAACATGTACCTAAAGGTTACAAAAAGTTTGGAAACTTAAAATAATATTTATATTATAACTTTCGTGAGACATACAACCATACAACAATCAACATACCAACTTTGGTAAATTTGTCTCATGTCAAATATTCTCCGTCAACTAAATCTGAGATGCGTAAAGAGATAATTATAGATTGCTATTGCACTTACATATTGCACTTATTTGTCGGCTAACGTAATATTTAGAAAGATTTATTAAATATATAATATTTGGCTAAATTAGTGAATCCATCTATTGTTGGCCACATCATCGCTTAATCGGGTGAGTAGGTAACCAAACGACGATCATAATCTATTAAAAAAAGTAAAGGAAAAGAGACAAATCTCTTTTTCTTACCTTTTCATAATCTCTTTTGCAGCTATTACTGCGAAGCAACTTCACCTTCCAAACACCTGATAAAAATCGAATCGATAGTGTCATGAATGTGAGTTTTATGTGAGCAACTCCTAACATGCAATGAGCTTCAAAATTTTTTTTAATTATTACATTTGGTTACTATAGCAAAAAATAAAATTTGGTTTCTAACAATGCATCACTTACCGAACAATCTTTGATTTCTTTTCTAGGTATATCGTATTGGATAAACACATAATTGAATTGCTAGAATCTGGAATGAATTTCTGAGACATCGAGAAATTTTCCTCTGTTTATTTTTTTTATGGCATAAGCCGGTAAACGAGCCTACGGATCACCTGATGGCAAGCAATCGACGTCGCTCATGGACACCTGGAACGCCAGAGGCGTCACAAGTGCGTCACCGGCCTTTTGGGGATTAGGAGTTTGAGGATCGTTGGGGATTCAGGAATTGGGGAGATTGGGGAAGGTGAGGGTAATTGGGCCTCCGGTAACCTCACTCACACGACGAAACATAACGCAAGCTTTGCTTCACGTCGGTTTTCTGTGAGGCCGTGGTATCACTCCGGTCGAGCCGGCCCATTCGTGCCGAAGCATGGCTCTCCCACACTTAAAGTTAGTTAAACCTATCAAACAAATTAATGTAATGGACGATTAGTAGTTGATACTGATATGATAACGTTTACAAAGATTCCCTTTCAGCTCATTAGCTTTTAAAGTAATTGTTTGGAATTCTATTCAGGAATAATATAAATTATTGCATTGTTGCAGAGTTGAAATAATTTTGCTGTACCTAATTTGTCATGACAAAAATCTGTTATAAATTTTGTTTTGTGTTTGAATAATAAATGTTGATAATTATTTTGTTTACATAGAAATTGGAATTAATTTATTGAAATTAATAGTTTTACCGTGTGTTCTCATTAATATTACATTTAGTATATCAATTATATCATATCATCTTCATCATATCATCTTATATAATATATCAATTGCTATTCATTGATTTTTAATAAATATAAAGCAAAAAGAAAAGCTTAAATAAATGTGATATGTGTTAACAAAATCAAAGAACATAGGTGTCATAGGTTAGACAAGTTTGTCAGCCAAATCAATACAATTTATTTCTCGCCGAAGAATTGTCTATTATTGAATAAAAAATCAGTCTCTGAATGTCATAACAGAATGAAAATAGAACAACGATTTTCTAAAGACAGCAATTTACTCAGAAAATGGAATGTCATGAGTCTTATACATAATTGATCAGTTCAATCTGTTGATAATATTTTTACTTGCCACTTAAACACTAATCAGTTCAACTTAGTTCACAGTTTGAGAAATAATTCAAGAGATTTACGCATGCGCCTGTTTTACGCGCCACCCCTCGAAACCTTACGACCGCCTCTTCGAGCCCACATTACCTGGAATATGAACCCTCCGAACTTAAACATAGAGGCTCCTACTCCGCAGGCTCGTCATTTCACGAAAATTTTGAGGCTCCGTCATCTTCAGTTCTAAAGCCGTCATTATGTTCGCGTACGAAGAATTAGATTTTCGTGACGTATTCTCTCGAATTCTCACTCCATCGTCGAGAACGGTTTTTGAGGATGATGTGAAAGAGAAATTGGACTTTATTTTATGGGCACTAGGGTTGATATTTCTTACTAATTGGTCTGAGTTGGAAGGATAACGTTTCGGAGTAAAGAGTACAGAGCTCAGTCGGCTGTGAGCCTTGGAGGTGAGTGCACGGAACACTCTGTCCGGATCCGCGCCGCGAGCGTAACTTAGTTCGTAACGCGGGAGAATGTAGATTGGCATCGTATTCTAAACTGTATGAGTGGTTTAATAAATGAATGCAGCTGTATAATTTTACAACTTCTATTACAAAATATTTTCATTATTTTAAAATAGTCGTCAAAAGCTATATTAACGTGAACTTTAAATAATTACACGGCTGCGGCCAATGTATATTGTTGGCGAATAATAGAAGTGAGTATTGATAAATTCTTTCGAATTACAAAATTAAATTTCTGAATAATTATTATTTTAACCAATACAGTAACTGTACTGTATAAAAATTGGTTTAACGGACAGTTTTCGTAATAGGTTCTACTAGGAATATTTTCAAATTGATTAACATCGGTTTAGTTAGTCGGTTTGCGAAATAAAATTACCCCAGTCTGTAAATTAAATTAAATTGTGTTGCTGTATCTTGTAAATAAATAAGAGGGAATGTAAATCGTAGTTAGCGTGGCCGAGCGGCGGCGGCGCGCGGGGCGCTCGCCCGATCCTGGCATATTTGCTGTTTCGCCGACATTCCCCAGTTAATTAAAGCCCATTTGTACACTGTCTTGCGAAATATAATTTATGAAACGAGAAAACATTTTATTTAACCTTTAGGAAATATTTGCTTCTAAAAATATCCAGTTTTATTAGTTAGAGATTCTTAATTATCACATAATTTATAAGTCACTGTTGGGGACTTAATTAAAGACGAAACATGGTTTGTTGGTACATTATGACATGATTATTAATTTTTATGATTGTCAGCAGTGTACAACTAAGCGTAGAAGGTATTGATAAACAAGTAGATGCCTCCACTCCACCTCCTTGTCGATTCCAAATAAGCCCGCCTCGATCCCAAGCTCCGCCTACCCGTAGAAGATAAATAAGTGCTTATGTAAACGGTTTTATATATATACAGGTATATTGTACTCCAGTATACTTCCGAGGAAATGGTTATATAAGCCTCTACAAGACTGTGAACATGCGTCTTGATATATAGCTTATGTACCTCTCTAATTATACCCTACTCGGTACCACTGAACAGTCATTACTTAGTGTTATTTAGTACTACAACTTGGCACTATAAGAAGACTTGTGTAAAATATAAATGTGCTAAGTCTCAGTAAAATAAATCGCAAATAAAAAAATGTAGTTTCACAACTGAACTTTCGTTTCAGATGAACGATATCACACTTTAAAACTGTAAACAAAGTTTAAACAATAAATCCATAACGGACGAAAACCGACACAATACGAAATGTCCATGCTGCGCTTGATTTTACAAAGTGAACAAACACAAAGGAGATAAATCTAGAACAGTTCTTGAACAGGACAATGTTAACAAACAAAATCAACAGAGCGGGTGAAACTTTCACAGCTAAGAAGTCGAAACTGTGTATACAATGTCGGTGGAGAGCAGCGAGCTCTAACAAGCCGGCCATCCGAACTTGTTAAACGTGGCCGGGGAGTAATTCACCGAAGCGGTCACTAACTGAACACTCGGACAGTTCGGGAACGTCCGCGGCTGTGTGTGGCAAGGCTAAGAGCACAGATTTGTGTCTGCATGGCAGCCCATAGTGTTGCTGGCGCGCAGAGAATGGGCCGCGGATGATGGACTCGCACTCGCTGGGCCGAAGTCGGCAGACTCCCGCTGCCAGAAACCACATTGTTTACACCGACCATAAAGGACGAAAGTGAGTATCTTTTCACATTTTCTTACTTCTTTTACATGCTCTTGACTTTGCCGTCGTAAAATGTGATCGAAACATTATTTTAGGGCAGATTTACGATTGAAAGTACTGTAAAACATTTTAGTGACTCATTTGCTTTAGGTATTGATTTTATTTAAAGTATGACAGGGATGCCACAAAGGTGTATGCGATTGGCAATTTTGTTCTTCCTGGAATTTATCCATATACTATGATTATGGAATTATGACATAATGCAAAAAATTGGGCGACCGAATTTGTACCATTATTTAAAATTTATGTGATAAAACTGCCCATCTATTTGTGACATAGATAGGTAATTCGAAAAATGACGGAATTGTCCATTCAAAACTATAAACCTAGGTAATCTTATGTTTATTAAATTAGGGTTGAAAGAACTGTAGAAGGTTAACTGCATCAAGACGGCTAATAGTCACTTAAATCTCTAAAGGAGTATTTCTAAATACACTACTGAAAAAGGAAAAATCTAAAATCTACTTTTAATTACTTTGCTTTTGTTTTCGAATAGATTGTATTCATTAGTAGTTCTAGGAAAGTTATATTGCTTCACAATTATCTAACTTTGTAATATTGTGCGACTTGAGGCCCAAACGTGAGACATATGGCTTTATTTTTATGTATTTCGGAAATGAAATTATCTTTATCATGTTTTTATAATAACTATCGTGAGACATACTAAATTAAGTAAAAACACGGGTTACTCACGTGAATATACTGAGAAAAGCTCTACTAGTTTCGAACCACAGAGGGGTTCTTCCTCGTGAGCAGCGTGCGCGGTCGCGGTGACGTCGCGCCGTTCACTGATGATTTCATATCTTTATCATTTATAAAATCTAGGAACTTATTTTATACAAGAACGTACTTTTAATCAACGGTTACAGCGATTTTTTATAATAGTGCTCGCGATTTTACAATTACAGTTTTACTTAAATTATAAAACACAGATAAATTATGAAGACTTTTCAGGAGTTTCATTCCTGATAAGTTTGTATAAAAAACTTATTAGTTACATATCATTTTCTAACTACGGCACTGTACCAGTTATATTGCTTTCCTTAAAAATTCGATACTAAATAGTTTAATGTCGTTTTCGCTGTTAGAATATGTATTGATTAGTGCATTATTACTTTCATTATTACAGTACAGATACAATTTTAATATAAAACCAGCACACAACTTCCACGCAATATGTTTTGCTACAACCGTAGTAATGTTTGTGGTCTGTCTTTATGGTACTGGTCTTTTAGAACAAAAAATTATAACTTGAATTTATAACTAAAAAACCTACCACACGATAGCGATGAGAAAAAAATTTTTTTGATGCCTCATTGTAGCATTTTATTATTATTTTTTTAGGTGTAAATATTTTAGTTCATAGTTATTTATATTTTAAGTTAGTAGTATATATTTTCATTTAGTAATAGTTAATATTATTTTTTTTATGTATATTGAATTAATAAATATTCAGACCCAACACGCAAATAAAAAAAAAACAAAAAATAATTCTCTAGGAAGTATGAGTATTAAGTACTCAGACTGAGAATAATTCTAAAATGTTTCTCTCGTCTTATTCATTCGAAAATTTATCTTTTACAATCCTGTTCATTAAAACCAGTAACGCACACAATTTATAATAACTTCGTAATGATAATTCAAAGTATAAAATAGAATAATTTTAGAAAAAACCGAACGCAAAACAGTAAATAAATCAAGTCTAAACCATTTTTTATTGGTGACAATTAATAAATGGGGACGATATTACTTTATTGGGCGTTTGGATTGCGGTGAAATAATAACTGCCGCCGTCGGTTGCGACTGGAAACGTTTAAACCAAACAAATGAGTGCTATTATTTCTCTCAATTTAGTCTAACAAGCAACTTAGAGTCAAAGGTTCGACGAAGCGGCGAACTCAATGGCCGTGAATTTTGTAATCTTCATTAATTTCAACTGAAACTTTACTTTCTCCCTTCCTACTTGTTCCTGCTAATTTAACATTTGCAGGAACAAAATTTTTCTTTTAAATATTGTGCCATGTTTATCGTTTCATTATCACAATCATTTTTATTCAGAGCACGAAGATATAACTTTGCGTGAATGTGCGAATTGTGTTTATAGTCTTTTGCCTTAATAATATTGTGCTCGGACGCTCAAATTGTAATATCAAGTTAGATGACATAAGAGCCAAAGTTTGAATAAGCATTAACACCTCATTTTACATTTGAAATGGATCATGTGTAAAAGTTGTAATGAAAGAAATTTTCATATAAATTAAACCACGAGAAGTTTGGAAGTGCGCTTGGTAAGGAACATTTAAATTCACTAGTAGTGAATGGTCTTGTGTGCCGGTCTTGTAATACCACCCCCCATTACCTGTATTGCAAGTTCTTCTAAGAGTTCTACAAGTAATTTGCTCCACGTAGTATATTTGCCTCCTTGGCCGAGTGGTCGCAAGTGCGACTGCCGGGCAAGGGGTCCCGGATTCAATTCCCGGGTCGGTCAAAGTATTACTAGGTTTTTTTAAAAAAAATATCTGTAGTAGCACGGAGGCTGGAATTGTGCCCGGTATATGGCAATAGGCTCACCCCCTATTAAATGGGACTCATAACATAAATAGTGAATAGTGGGTGTTACATTGTACAGTGGTATAATGTACACCTCTGCCTATACCTTCGGGGATAAAAGACGTGATGTTACGTAGTATATTTCTAGCATAAGCATCTTGAAGCTAAGCATAAGGCAATATGTTATTTTGTAACTATTATTTTATAACGTTTGAAACAGTTCCCACGTGCTTTTGAGGCTGGTTCAAATTATTTATATCACATTCGGGTTTAATAGTTTTTGTAAAAAGCTGCGTTGTTGTCCCATATTGGAATTATGAATGCAATTTGCTTATTCGGTTGTTGTTCAGTGACCGTTTTTGATTGACCGAGTCGATCGCTTCAAACTGTTAAGAAAGTGTTTATTGTAGTCTGCTAGTCATCACACTTCTTTTTTAAACTTCTTCTTTCTATCTTTATAATTTAAGCAAATAATTTGGAAAAATATATGTTTTTATTTTTCCATTCTCTCCTATCCGACGTCATTCTAATTCATGCACGTTTTTCTTTTCAAAATCTATGCAGTTTTCTCTCAACATGTTAATAGTATTTCAGTTAGAAAATTAAATACATTATAACAATATTAATATTTATCTGAATTTGTTTGATATATGCTACTGTTTGCAACATACACTAGTAATTAATTTATTCATTAATGCTCAATTAGGTACTTTTCATACTGTTGGTGAAGCTGGGTGAAGCCATTTACAATAATATTATTTGGTTAACTTCTCTAAAATGGATAATTTAACTTAAAAAACATAGTTTTACATGTATGTATATGTTATTATTATATGTATTTTTAAATAAATATATATTACGAAAGTAAAACTGTTGGCCTTATGGGCGAAAGCGAGCCACGGGTTACTATTAAAAAAATACAATAGTGTTACAAACTCGATGGTCACTGACGGCAGATAACAATATTTTCATGGAAAATACAGTACCTAAATACTCACTGTTGACCGCAATCTGGTTCAGAAATTTATTAGAGGTAGAATTATGTAGAAGCATAAGTATAATTTTTTGAACTAATTTTATATTTATTAATTAAATGATAACATCATAATATATGGGCAAAACTTTTATGTAAACTAGAACTGTGAGTTGAAATAAAAATCATAAAAGCGTTTATTAAATTAATTACGCATAACAGAAAATATTTATTAATATATTCAGTTCCTTGGAAAATTATTTTGTCTGCTATAAATCTAAATGTCAACCTCAGAAAGGATTAGTTGTGATATATTGCCGTGCATGTATATTCAAATAGTGCAGGCGTTAGCTTGTATGTTGCCAACTTTCCTTTGTGTTTGTAACGCGTATTACGAACGATAACAATACAAAAAAAGTGTCGTAAGAAGTGAATAATGTTGTTTGTTATAATAATAAAGAGATCAGAGTGGGGGCCGAGTGGCGCCGGGCGCGGCAGTATGTGCAGCGAGCAGTAGGGTGGCAGGCAGGGAGCGCGCGGTGTGAGCTCCGTGAGCCACCGAAGGACAGCCGAGTTACTTGTACACAGTTTCCGTTAGTCACATTTTCGCAACAAGGTATTCACATTTCGAGGACTGGAAAGTTGGCGTTATCGCGTTTAAAATAGAACGACAAACACATCTAACTTTGTGATGCAAAATGAACTCGACGAACTGGACAAACCGTTTCGTCTGCTTATTTTATTTCGGCTGGAAAAGCTTTGTTGCATTTAAGTGATTCTTAAAAGGCTTAAATTGGATGTGGTGGACTGACAACGACTGTTTAAAATGTCATAAAGTATTGCGGACAGTTTCAGGCTTTTGTAATTTATACTGACGTTGAAAAATAAATTATCGCAATCACGAAATGTGTTTGGAAAGTATAAGAAAAGAAGTTAAAATAAGTATTTTACGAGATCTCTGTGTAATAAAAATATAGAATTACATTCACATCTTTATGCGATGAAAGTGTAACATATTCAGAGCCGGTCTCGACACGTACCGAACTCTCTGAGAACATTATAAGTACGGGTAAGTGCACAAATTGATTTATTGAAGTTGAGCGGGTTTGGAGTTGCGCCTGAGTATTCACAGTCCTTTACGTTACACAGATAAAGTGGAAATAAAAAAGAAACTTCACAAACAGAAATCCCCTTGTCGCGAGATTTACGAGCCGACGCACCTCCGGCGCAAATAACTTATGTACATGTAAATTTTATGTTCCGTTGAAACAAACGCTCGTAGGTACAGACTCAAGGAAATCTCTTGAAGCACCCCGTGTCAATTACGAGCCGCGTACTTGTATAACAGATAGTACGGCGCGTACGTCCTGCGGTCGATCAACAAATTAGGTTAACGATCAAAAATTCCAAACAACATTAGCGATCAATT